TTACAAGTTACGTGATAAAATGAGAACAATTACAAGGCTCTAAATGGAGAAAACTGTTGGTCTTTCAGCAAAATCTGGCAAAGATGTTTGAAGCGCTTGAGAGCACATATTATCGCAGCTCACGTCCAAATTGACTACATTTTGCAATAAGGAGGTACTATTTCCGGTTTGTCTATGAAATCACTTATCCTCCTGGCGAAACTAATGTCATAAATGCCTTTCCTACAATAGCCGAATAGTATCCGGCCATCCTAAGCAAAAAGGCCGTAACTCCACTCAAATTCTTTTACTTTTTCCAGTACGTACTGCTTTACTACAAAAAAATGCAATCGCCCCAAGGCTTTATACTTTCCTTTTGAGTTCCTAATGGTGTGCCACAGTCGTATCAGAAAAATAAAGGATAAATATTTGTTAGATTTTTTGTAAAACAGAATTTTCTCAGAAAAAATTGACGAAGTGTCGGATGTCGGATGGACAATGTTTTTACTTTGGACGGCAGTATCTGAATGTAGTGTCGTATCTGTACCTAGTGTATGTATAGTATTTCCTCATTGGAAAAAAAATTGTATTAAAAAAATAGATACTGCTCTTTCCTGTAATAAAGCTCACCAGCTGTGGCAACAGTGTCAATATTTTCGTCAAAATCTTAAGATCACGCAGTCAAAGTGAAGTGGAAATGACGTTACGTGCAGTCCATCAGAAGTAGCGGCCCGCTGAACAGAGGCGGAAATGGGCTGATGTGACGTCATTTCCGATTTATACTAAGGGTGCAATCGTAAGATATTAACGAGAGCTAATCGACAATTAATATGACTAAAGCTTCAAGACACATTCAGGGCTCGGAATTTTCGCACATGCATGCAGACGAAAAGTTCGTATTGGAACAATGCAAGGCACTTGGTAAGTGATTATTACCGATTTTTTTGGCGGCGAAGAGAACAAAATAGAGGAAGTATAAATATTTGAAATGAGACAAAGTATTATTTTTGAGAGACTTACCATACACGAACTTTTTCATTTTGAGGTAATAGAAAGTTAAGTGAAATGATTTTCAAATTCAAATGACATTCATTTCTTGGTTGGATGCAAATTTTCCAGAAAATCAATTTTCAATTTGATTTTTCCGGGAAAAATCAAATTTTCCGAGTAACTAACACATCGAGATAGATACATACGTCATTTTTGGACTCGGCAGCAACCAATAGTACTACTCTTTCTGATAGCAAGGTTGCTTTAGTCAAACGATAATGAGTAAATTTACAGAATTACCTGCGTATGAAACCCAGCCGATTGTCTACCAGGAGGCGTGAAAAAATTTCGTTACATACGTGTGAAACATTGGACGTGTTCAATATTTTTTTGTTGCCAAATCTGAAAATCATTCTAGGTTCCCCATCACAAGCGAGGAAAAGTTAATTTTTGGAAGGATCTACTTTATCGAACTAACCGTTTTTTCAAAGTTAGTTAAGATTTTTCGAAAATTTAAATTTTCATGAATAAAATTGGTCGGTGGTGGATGAGTTTTGAGCTAATGGTACTTTACAGACCTGACACTAAGAAACGCATAGAATGTGCCCCATCAGGCACGTATCTAAACTTTTTTATGCCTTATTTTGGACGCGGATAAACCGCGACCGAGTTTTATATGGTTAATGGATGGATTTGGTAGTTTGATTGAAGGATATCAGGGATCGCATTTCGATAACCAAAGTGCGAAATCACGTATCTCCGTAGCGGTGTTTCAAAATGTCCGTCCTTCTTCTATTTATTGGGATAGAAACAAGCCCAATATAGGATATTTTGCTAGTTTAGAAGAAAAATCAAGGGCCTTTTTTTTTTTTTTTTTTTTTTTTTTTTTTTTTTTTTTAAAGAAATTACGTTGACAAGTTTTGAAAAGGAAAATAAAGTATGGCAAGAAGTCTGCAAAATTGTAGACGGAGTTACGTGGTTTCGCACTACGGCCATCGATTTGCTGTGACTCAGGGTTACTGCGGGTCGATTATTGAATCGTTATCGAAGGTCTTTGATCGATAAATAACATTGCTAAGATAGGGATATATCGATCAAGTTCATTCGATAACGATTCAATAATCGACCCGCTGAATTATCTTGGTATTCTCCCAGATCGTGCGCCAGTTTTCTAGAAAGCCAAATTTTTGCCCACTTTTTTAGAGTCATTTTATGAGTTTACGAAACATCCTGAATTGAAAGAGTTTCTGGAATTATTCCTCGAATTTACGAATTAAAAAAATGATAATTTTCCTCATTCCAATATTTCATTCTAATCCCACAAAAAAGACTCAAGACAGAACAATGAGATACTTTCCTGCAACTGACATTGATCTGAACACACCTCATTATCTTTCCTTCAGTGTCCTTTCCCCTTGCGAAGTTCTCGAAACACTATAATTGTGATCCTCTTTGACGATTGTTTGTATTTACTTTTTATTCTATGAATCTGTCGAGAATATGGAGAACGTCGATAAAATTCGAGTAATGAGTTTGTTGATATTTTTCCCTCTTTTTTTTATGAATTGATTTTTTTTTTCAATTCAGACAGGTGTTACATTCCTCAATGACAAAAACTTAGGTACCTTGCTTATAAAAAATTCTGATTGATTCATGTAAAATTTCCTTTCAGTACTACGCATGCATTAGAAAAATAATCAAATGGAGAACTTCCCGGTAAGATCAAGTGGAAACTTGTTTTGTTCTCCCTAAATGAGGAATTTTTCGAAAAGAAAATATGAGACCAGCTTCCTGTCGGCTTGATGGGAAATTATCCATACCCTAGGCCTCAGTACTGAACTTACTAACGCAACCAAGGCAATGCAAAGAGTCACTAATTTAAGATCATTATTTATGCGCATTGTAAGTCAATACCATTTCATTATTCTCATTGTAAATAAAGGCTACGTTTTGAGAAAAGGATTCGATTTTATTTTAAAAATAGAAAAGTTTATTCGTTGAAATGGTTGGCAAAATTTCACAGTATTCTTGAGAGAGAAAATTTTTGCTGCAAAAAATTTAGTATGATCAACTTCCGACCTAGAATTTTTTTGTTTCTTTTTGAGAGGAGATTTAAAGATAAAATATTACCAACTGAACTTTTCGAAAATTGGGGTCTTTTTTCCCCAAGTGTCTGGGAAAAAATTAACGGAAACCACCTGCAGAGAATTGCAAAAAATTTAGTATGATCAACTTCCGACCTAGAATTTTTTTGTTTCTTTTTGAGAGGAGATTTAAAGATAAAATATTACCAACTGAACTTTTCGAAAATTGGGGTATTTTTTCCCCAAGTGTCTGGGAAAAAATTAAAGGAAACCACCTGCAGAGAATTAAGTTGATACTTGATTCCTATTCAGATTTTTAGATAGGAAAATGCAATTCATGGAAAGGTACCAAGTCCTTAATTTTTAATGTTGATTCTTCGAAATAACTCTGCAGACCAACTCTGTCGTGCTGAGGAAACACGCCGTATGAGGATTCTAACGTTATAAAACTCCCCTCCTCCTCCCGATAAAATTATTATTTTTGAGAAAAGCTTGAAATAATTCGCTCTAGAGGTTTCACACACTTTGGATTAAACCATGATTAAAATTCTTGGAATATAATTGAAAGAAAAATCTTCACAAGTCTCCCTTGACATTTGTATTTTATCGACAGGAAGGCAACGTCGAAATGCTCGTACTTCGTTCTTTCTCAGCATGGCAAAATTAATGAGCAATTCCCAAACCTTTCGCTCCCATTTCAAGATATTCCGTTCCTCTTATTCAATAACTGAAATAGTCGTTTGATCTGCCAAGGGAGCGAGAACAGTAGTGTAGAAAGAATTAAACATTGAGTCACCGTTGCACAGTGGACGTTTTGAAAAATATATTTGTCCGAAAAATGTTCGAAAATGTAAAATTAACCTTTGTTAGAGAAGCTTAAATTTTCAAACCAAAGAAAAAGAAAGTAATATTCCAAAAAAGCTATGGAGAGTTTTACTCTTCCATCGTTGGGCCACCTGATTGTCCAAAATGTCAAATGCATTTGAATGCAACTTTACGCACCATATTCACACAAAAATGAACTTAAGCATTTTATGATTGGACTGCAGTTTGCAATAAAGAAGTATCATTACTATACTGAGTATTAGTCCTATAATCACTCATTTTGGAAACATGACATATCGACGGTAAAACTACCAAACCACGTATCTCGTTTGCGGTGTTTAAAAATCTACGCTCACATTTTATTTTTTTGAAGTAGACCAAATCAATATCATTCCTTGAAATTTTCACGGAATTTTCTCCGCACAAAGAGGAAAAATCACAGAAATTTTCAAGACTGGATGTTAAGTAGTTTTTCATTTAAAAAATAAAGTATGACAGGAAGTCTGCGACGTCGCAAACCGAGATACGTGGTTTGGTAGTTTCACCGTCGATATGCGCCAATAGCTCTTTATGCAGAAAAGTTCTTTTGTGGATGAGCCAAAAATAGTAAAACCTCATTAATATGTGCATTTCAACTTACGTTTTAGGATACTGGAGAATTTTCTTCATCGAAAACTTAAGTGTCACTCTTTAAATGGACCACATTTTGAAATAAGGAACTACAGTTCACAGCTCATTTTAGAAACAACGTATGTAACACTGGTTCTCTTATGTAGACCGACAGGTGCTTTTACGGATAAGCCATAGAAAAGAGTTCCTTATTGCAAATTTTAGTCCGATGAAACTGCCAAAAAATTTGTCTATTAAAAATTTTACCTCTGCATGTACTTTCTCCCGTGGACACATACATTGAACTACCTTTTGCAATAAGAAACTAATATTTCTGGGTCGTTACACAAAACATATGTGACACTAGTTCTCTCATACAGATAGGTGCGCTTGTGAGTGAGTAAAAAATAAAAGTTCCCAATTTCAAAATGTAGTCTAAGTAGTTAAAGGAACGGAGAACCGTACTATATTTTTGTGTTTTTAGTGTTCGTGAATTATAATAAAAGAGAAAAATACTGAAACAGGAACTATTTTTTTATTGCGGAAGCACAAATTGAATATTGGCGGTGTGAAATGTAAATACAGGATTTATTATTGGCAAAAAGAATGTTTATGACAAAGTTATATGAAGGCAAAATTTTGACGCCAAAGTGCTTGCATCTTAAGTGAGAAGCAGGATCTAGCACCCGCCTGGTTGATGACTACAACCAGAATACAGAGCAAGGAAGAAAAAAGGAACAGTCTGCATTCTGTAGATAAAAGTAATGAAATATGCGAAGGCTGATTGTATTGATTTTGAAATAAGACGCTGGAATTTTATAAATGTTCGAAGTAGAGTTGAAACACTTCACGAGAAAAGCCCTGGGTCAAAATTACTCACTTCACAAAAAACCGCGGCTGAAGCACAGCTTCAGGGGGCGCATGCGTGAGAGTAGAGATCTTCTTTACGTGACGACAAGCTGAAAATTCGAGAGCAAAATCTGGTGGCTGAAAGCAGGGAATCGGCGATTTCGATTGCGGTGTTCTGCAGAAATGTCTGTGGCGATAATATCATTTGAAGTGAAATTTGAACCGAAAACTCACTGGAAAATTAGTCTATCGAGTTCGACTAAATTTGCTGGAACCACAATGCGTTTAATTATGAGATGCAGTTCAAACGCGAAAAGAGAACACTTTGGATGAAGCAGCTGAGAGGAAACCGGATTTGGCGGGATCAACCCGGTGTCAAATGGTGAGTCTGAGTCTAATTGCGAGTCTATCGGTGAACTTGAAAAACCCGGATTTATTAGGACCGCTGGAGGATGACGTTATCTGGAAGTTCAGCGGTGAGTCAAACGGTGAGTAAACGGTGAGTTAAACGGTGAACGAACTGACGTCAGACGAGGAGACCACGATATTCAGAGCTGAAACAACAATCGAGCTTGCCGTTACCAATGAAATTATCCGCGATTCCATGGGCGAGATCAACGGTGAGTTCATCGGTGAGTTAAACGGTGAGTTAAACGGTGAACAAACTGATTTCAGACGAAGAGACCACGATATACAGAACTGAAACAACAATCGAGCTTGCCGGCACCGATGAGTTTATGGGCGAGTTCAACGGTGAGTTCATCGGTGCGTTCATCGGTGAGTTCATGGCGTTCAAATGAGCTGCTGATCAGCGATCTGGACGTTGTAGCCGGTAGCGTCATCGGCATAGTAGTTGACGGTGCGGTACTTTCCGTCCGGCATCAACAGGGAGTAGGATCCGGTCACCCTGTCCCCGTAGCGGTGCTCGGAATGGGACTTGGTGTCACCGGAAAGCGGATCGTTAACCGCGTAGTTGTAGTTGTACGAAGGGATCTCGTCCTGGTAAACCGACTGTTCTTCCTCGCCCTGGGGTCGCGGCAGACAGGAAACGACGGCGAGTACACTCGCGAAGAGGGTCACTAGAACGATTTGCCTCATTTTCGCACTTGACACAACGCACTCGAAATCAGTTCGACTATGAGTCGGACTCAGCCTCCGCATCGGACTTATATACACGCGTGTTCGATGCATCGTTGCCAGATTTATCACTCGAATTGATGCGCAGCAGTTTTCATTTCACCGGCTTCGTCTGTCACAGACACCTTTCGGAATGACTCAGGGCTTGTACGGGGTGTGCCATGAAAGAAAGCTGGCTCGTTGGTCGGTGAACCGATAGCCTCGATGCAAGAATCGTCAACCTCCGGCCAAAGTGCCACAAGTGCCATGCCCATGAGACGTTTGAAAATTTCTGCCGCCATTTTATTTTTTTACTGAGAAATTGTTGGTCGAATCTATTTGAAAATTTTACTGAAATTTATCGACAGTACAAAAAAAATCAGTGAAATTTTCAGACAGCTTCGTTGAAAAATTTCCCTGTAAAAAAATATAATGGCGGCGGTAATGATTAAACGTCGCATGGCGCTTGTGATATTTTGGCTGGAAGGTGACGATATCGATGACTGAACTCGAGAATGGACCGAGTCTAACTAACGCACCAGATCCCATCAAGTTTGAAGTGAGAGAAAGAGGTTTGAAGTTTTGTTCCGCCGTAAGATGGAACATTATTAAGGAAGAAATTAAACGAATGTTCTCTCGTTGAAAATATTTTTTGTCGACTTTGATTTTTTGATAAGAGAAAGTTTAAGACTGGTTGAATCCTAAATTACTTTCAACTCAATTGTTCTCAAACTGTGTCTTGATGCGTCACTGTTAAACTCGGTACAAATCACGTACGTCCATCGGTGAGTTTTGAAATTTCCGTTCTCACAATATCTCCTTGAGGGAAAATGTGTCAACTAGTGTTTGAAATTTTTGCAGAATATTCTTCAAACAAGGTTTGGAAATCAAAGATGTTTTTCTTAAACAATTACTTCCATCCATCGTGAAGTTAAAAAATAAAATTAAGTGGCAGTGGGCGCCACCGTGGTGACTGGTGAGTGGTGACTGCCTTGAAAATCAAAACGCCTTAAATTCCGTGCTTATGCAACCCGTACATCCGTGGAGCTCGAATAGTTGCAGTCTAGCGTTGTAATGAAATTCGCTTTAGTATCCGTTGATTTGCTTGTTTTTTCTAACACCTCAACTTTATTCCAGTATCGCCTATTGCGATGAAGTGAATTATTACTTTTTTTAATCGTGTCTTTGTCCATTTTCCAATGCTTTTTTCAATGCATTTTTTCAATGCTTCAAATGGTTAAAATGTATTAAAAGGCTGTCATTCTAACATGTGGGCTGCGGTTCTGCACTTCCTGACCTGAGATTAATCCAAGAAAAATTTTTCGAGCGCGTATTATAAAATTTTCGTCTTTGCCAAAGAAATACGGTGAAGTCCGGTCAGAAATATCCATTATCCTACGATCAGTTCAGAGCCCGGTAAGGCAGGACCCAAAGCTTGTAAGAAAAATGTTTTCAGGTCAAATTTCCACTCACGCTTTCGGGGTTTTCTTTTTAGGAATTTTACTCATGGAGTTCTACGGTTAATTATTCGGCTGTGACGGTATTTTTCTAAAATCAAACAAATCTTTTATCAAGAAGAATTTGATGCTTTTACATGGTAAAGCACACATAAAGTGAAGCGTCAAATTTGATTTTAGTAGATTTTTCCCCTTTTTTGCAAGCAAGAAGCTCGACTTACAAAGGATGAAAAGTAAAATTCCCCTCTTGTGAGATACATCCGGCAATTTTCAATGAGCAACGACCGTGGTGATTGTGAAATTTTGATTAAAAAAAGAGAGGAAAAAAAAATTTAAACCGGTGCTTAATTTCTCACCTTGTTCAACCATCCGTTCTGCTCTCTCTTCACACCCTGTACATAGATTATAGAATTCTGATACAAACATTGCAAGTCTTCAGTCAGTATGCCTGGGAAAGATCTTGCAGATATCCTATTCAATACGTTTGCCCTGTCTCGACATTAGCATATTATACTGACCTTTTTTCCAATAATTCATGGCCGAGGACTAGAACTATTCCAGCCGATGATCACGAGCATATTTGTTATGGACAAATTTTCTCTGGTGCATTTCAACCCGCCATCGGGATTTGAAAAAAGGAGGATGAGCCGTCAAGTGGAGGTAGCCAAATCAGTCTAAAAAAAGTCAAGATCACTTTGTTTTATTGTGCTTTGATACCTTGTATAGAGGCCCATTAATTTTGTCACTACAAAATTGCGACTTCTTGATTTCTCTTGTTTGAAAATGAGGGGTTTGGAGGACAAGACGCATAAGTGCAGTTTTTGAAAAAATTAAGATATTCATGAAATCAACCTCAACTAGTTTGAAAGTATATCCTGTGAAAAATTTACAACTAAAATCCAACTTTAAAGAATCAAAAAGTGAATTTAAACTTCCTTTTTGCCATAAGGTTCCATGTAATTTTGAAACTTCAAATACGTTTTTCCTGACACAGCCTGCACTTCACTTATGTGGCTTGTCCTCACTGAAAAAAAATTCTCAGCGTTTTTACCAAGGTCCATTGGTACCTTTACCATCTCACTTTTTTTTACCAATTATTGGTAATTTTACCAAGACAGCCTGGTAAGCTTACCTAAACACCAGTATTTTTACTGTTTTTTCAGGTAAGAATACCACTTTTATTGGTAATCAATTCCCGGTAACTTTGCCATTTTATCTCGGTAATTCTACCACAGTCGATAAAAAATATTAGCGTTTTTACGAGGGTCCGGTAAAATTACCGAGAAAATTCAATAATATTACCGAGATTTCTCGGTAAAATTACCAATTCCATAAATGGTAATTTTACAAAAAAAAAAACCGGGATCAAATAGAACCCTCAATTCTTGGTAATTTTACCCTTTTCTTAGTAAATACACCGAGATTTTTTTCTGAGTGCGGCAACAATGCCGAAGAGCGGATGATTTTCCTAGACGGCCTTGATTTCTAATGAATTTTTAACATTCGACGGTCCTCGTGAATCCAGGAGAGGATACGGGGATAATTTTCTATTTTTACGCTCTTATTCGCACTCCTCCGTCGTGCGGTGACGATCCTCTTAAGAATGCAGGATGAGAGGAAAAATAAGAGCAAGAGAAACTCGCCGCAGACGACTCAAGGATCCGCGGATGACGAGGGAGGCCATAAATCTGAAAGCGTAATGAATCCCAAACATTTTACTTCATGCAGTTCGGGATGGAAAATTTCATGTGAAGTCAGTGACGATGAGAGGGGTGTCCGTAAAAGCGGCTGGAATTAAATCGAGGCGATCTGATACGTATGTACGTATGAAATGCACTGCCATGCTAAGGAAAAACACCGTATGATCTCTCAGGTGTTGCCAAATTTCCTTTAATAAAACACGAATTTTTTTTGTAAATTCGCGAATATTGTTTTTATTTTTATAGATAATTTTGCTCGCAATCCCACCGAAAAGTTCTGAAAATTTCAAGGAAAATTTTTCATAACTTTCCTTAAAAATGATCGTTTTGTCGAAGGAAATTTGGCAACTCTTGAAAATTCATACGGCGTTCCTCCTTAGCACGGCAACGTGCCTCTAGACGGTGCGTCTAAATCAGCCAGTGTCTTTAATCAATTTGTTATATGTTGTTGTATCTTGTTGAAAACTGTTTGCAATAATAATTCCTGGAATCAACTCTGAAACAAGTCATCGTGGTTAAATTACACTGGAAGATAATGATCATCGGGTTATCGACCATTCGTTGCTGAAATACTGGTTTAATTTTTAATGTCAAGCAAAGAAAGGAACAGTTATTGGAGGTTCTCTTTCACCCTGTAGCTGTAGACTAGTCTTTTGCCTTCTTTACTTCTGGCCTTCCTAACTGAAACGTAATTTTTTGTCTCTCACTGAAAAAAGCCGTGCATATAGACAGAAAAGAAGTCCAAGATGTCACCTGCACCTCTTCTCCATCTAGTTCAGGGAAGAGTTCTTTCAGACTCCACTCTTGGGATGCTATTGTCTTTTTTATTTTAAATTAACCCTGAGTACCGCATGGGTCCATTCAAGACTAACTGCAGTCTACCAGGTATGCCAAGCTCGGGATGTTGAGGATAATTTGGCTTTGGAAATGAGAGTAGGCATTTGACATGCTTCAATCCAGCGTAAATTTAGAAAATTAGCCTAAAAAATATGCGAATCTTTCAAAATCCTTCTTTGAAAATCGATTTTGAAGGTAAATTTACATTGGTATCACTAAGACATGCTTGCCATTCATATTCAAACGTCATCAAAATTTGAGGCTTATTATTTTTATAATTAGATAGTCATATGACGCAATATTAAGCTCAAGAGCATATTTTTACCGAGTTGAGCACTTTTTGATAACCAACCGATTAAATAAAAAATCTGCTGGCGTCTGAAATGCGTTGCATTTCATTCATAAATAAAAATTACCGAGTGAAATGAGCTTAAAATATCCTCTTTTTCTATATCATAAGGTGCTGTACAATAGGGTAATTTCTATTTGTACAAGTTACCACATCTAAAAAATTAATGACATTTATCTGTGGGTTGAGAATTGCTGGATTTCCGCCTTTTATAGGATTTGTACTTAAATGATGATTAGAATCAGTTATTTTTGGTGTTTTAGATCTGAGTGTTTGGTTAGGTAAATAATTTTGGTTTCTCCACCATCAGCTTATTTTTAAAGTGTTTATAGTTTAATGTGTAATAGGGAATGCTTCTAAAATACATCCGTTTATATGGTTAGTGACTTAATGCCGCACTGGAAAAAAAAAACACATTGGATCTAGAGTCCAGACTCTTAAAAACATCGACAAGAAAAAATACTCTTGATTCAATCAGATTTCAGCTTAAATCAAGAACCAAGCCTCTTAATTTGAGCGGATTTCCTTTTGATTAAAGCTTAAACCTGCTTGAATCAAGAGTCCTTTTTCTTGTCAATGTTTTCAAGAGTCTGGGCTCTAGATCCAATGTGTTTTTTTTTTTTTTTTTTCCAGTGCGCTTTGTGACGCAACATTTTGAAAAGAGTTACTTTTTCTCAGTACAGACCTTGCCTAG